AAAACAACAACAGAAGTGTGGGTCTTACTATGTAATGATAGTAAGAAAGAAATTACAAAATTTTTCAATTCACAAATGCACACTTGCATTGCCTACTAAGAAAGTTAGTACCGGTAGTCATCGGTTAATGCATTCCTCCTTGTGTAAAAGACAATAGATCATCCTTAATGTATTTAATTCGCTTTTAACTTTACTAATGTTTTCCGTTTGTACTTATTGTTTCCTTTCTTGTTCCAGTTGCCACTGCTGTAGTCTCTTTTCGTGTTTCTTTTCTTTTTCCTCCAACAACTGCTGTAACTTCTCTTCTTGTTTATTTTATTTCTCTTCTAACAACTGCTGTAACTTCTCTTCTTGTTTATTTTCTTTCTCCTCCAACCACTGCTGTAGTCTCTCTTGTTTATTTTGCTGTTCGAGTTGCCATTGTTGTTGGTTTTCTTGCTAATTCTGTAATTTTTCTTCTTGTTTCTTTTCTCGTTCTTCTTGTTTCTTTTCTTTCCCTCCAACAACTGTTGTAATCTCTCTTCTTGTTTCTTTTCTTTTTCCTCCAACAATTGCTGTAACTTCTCTCTTTTTTTTATTTTGTTGTTCAAGCTGCCACTGTTGCATATTTTCTTGCAACTGCTGTTGTCCCTCTTCTTGTTTCTTTTCTTTTTCCTCAAACAACTGGTGTAATCTCTCTTCTTGTTTCTTTTCTTTTTCCTCCAACAACTGCTGTAATCTCTCTTCTTGTTTCTTTTCTTTTTCCTCTAACAACTGCTGTAATCTCTCTTGTTTATTTTGCTGTTCGAGCTGCCATTGTTGTAGGTTTTCTTGCAACTTCTGTAATCTTTCTTCTTGTTTCTTTTATTTTCCTGCAACAACTGTTGTAATCTCTCCTCTTCATGTTTCTTTTCTCGTTCTTCTTGTTTCTTTTCTCGTTCTACTTGTTTCTTTTGCTGCACTTGTATTGCTGCCATCAAATCTGCTATGCTGTAGCTTGATTTGCCGCTTCTCGTTTCCATTTTTTTTATCCTACTTCTGACACCAATTTGTTACGTCTCCGTTCGTTAGTTAATTTTCCGTAAATTCGTTCCGACGAAACTTTAGCGACACAAGTCCTTTCTTCAATAAAACTGGTTTATTCTTTCCGAATACAACTTTACGATACACTTAATTTCAACAGTCGCTCTTTAACAAACGCTCACGTGTCACGTGGCCAACAATATTTTATCCGCATACATTCAATTACTCATTGCACTGTTTCCCCGTCACGTTGTGACCGGCTTATATATATATATATATATATCAGACTAACACATATCTAGTAAATGCTAAGGCATTCTTGAAGGAACAGGATATTTCTAGAAACAGGTGGCGTGATACTAGTCACGTGACCTCGCTGACGCAACAGCGGGTTCGAATCCCCCTTCAAAACTTGTTCGTCCTTTTATCCGTGAGGGCGTTGTAATGTATGATCAATCCCACTATTCGAGTAAGTGGCGATGGGTGGTGTTGATTAGCTGCGTTCCCTCTGATCTATTACTGCTAAATCAGGGACGACTAGAGCAGATAGCCTTTGTGTAGCTTTGGGCTGAATTCCAAACAAACAAACAATTTTGCTTTTCAAACATATTTTAAACAGACACGGGTTTAAGTTCCATTTAGACAGAAATTATACATAAAAAAGTTTATTGTTTAATACCTTTATTCATTTTTCCAGATATTTTATTTTTATATTTTAAATGTTTATTATATTGCTACGAGGGTGGGCTAATAGATTTACTTGAAAAAACGTATGAAGTTGTTTACCGCGAAAGTAACATAACGTACGTTTTAGTATGTCTTAAATTTAATTGTTATTTATGCGATATTTTAGCTAATCTAATTGTGAAAAAACAACGAAAACTGACGTGCGAAACTTAGTAAGTTTGTTTGGTGTTACTAATTTCTGTAATGAATATAAAAAGTTCAAGATTTCTAGTAAAAACCTATGTTTTCACCATGGGCGCCCGCAGGAAGGGGCAAGGGAGTCACTTGACCCTCCTGGATTTTCAGAAAGAAAAAAAAAATGACTAGATATGTAAAATTTTTCTTCTATGTTATTGGAAAATCATAACGTATTTGTATTTCGATTTCATAATTTTTTCAAACCTGAGTTACTTGACCCCCCCTAATTTTTTTCTGCCGGCACCCTTGGTTTCCACCTAAAACTCGAAAAGTATAAGTAAAACAGTGAAACTGTTTCATTTTGTAACTTAAGTTGTATGTAACTTGCAACTATAAATATATATAACAATATAAGTAAGTCAGTGTCAGCAAGTCAGACTAACGTTAACACTTAATAATATTACTTAATATTAATATTATTTCAACGTTACTAATAAGAACGTTGCCTTTTTGTTCTGGTATTTTTAACAGTAACAGTCTTACTATAAGTTAAATATAATGGAATGTTAGTATCCCACCTGTTGGAGTATGGCATTTTTTTTATAAATAGGTGCTGTGGTAGTGACTACTGTAAAGTGTAAGTTGAATGCTGATTACATTACTGGTAGTGGTAATAGCTTATAAGGCTATTCTGTATTCACCCTGTTTTCTAAATAATTTTATTACACTGGTAATATTCGATGTTGTTTATTATTACTAGTGCCAGGCCACAAGTGGGCTGGAACACAGTGGAAGTAGTACTACTAGTAGTATTACTATTAGTAAGGCATACTGGCTACACTACACTGTGGTCTGCAGAGACAACATATTCTGTATTTCTGTTGCTTTTAAAAGTAACAACTAACATCAAGAGAATGACCCAGTAATTTACTTAGTGCTTGTGTGTAACTTATGTATTTTTTGTTTCACCTTTAATTTACATTTTAATTGATGAACTCAACTATACAATCCTAGCTACAGTGATGTTGTGTGAATCACAGATGCTGAAATAAAATAATATTATTATTAGTAGTATTATTACTATTAGTTCTACTTGTGGTACGTAGAACTAATATTAATAGTAATATCAATAGTAATGAGGGCCTAGTCATCTTTGTAGATGTGGAGGATAGGTTGGTTCAATGGATAGAAAACTAGCTAGGTGGAAGGGTTGTTATAAATAAAATTCAATCAAACTGGATTAATTTTATGAGTGGGGTACCTCAGGACTTTACACCAACATCATAGATAAAGGAATGGTCAATAGATTATTCAAATTTGTTGATGACATTAAAGTTTTGAGTGTTGCTAGCTGTGAGGAGGATGCTACTGTGTTATAAAAGGATTTGGATTATTTATTGAGTTGGGCAAATAAATGGCAGATGGGTTTTAATTATAATAAATGCAAGGTAATGCATGTGGGATATCACAATTTGAAATATGAATATAATTTTGATGGGAATATTTTTAACAGTGTTATAAAAGAAAAAGATCTTGGTGTGCTGGTTGATGCCCTGTCGCTAGTTGTAGAGTATACAGAATTTTTGGTTTTATATACAGAAATATTGAATACAACTTACAAGTCTAAAGAGGTTATTATGTCATTGTATAGGTTATTGGTTAGGTGCATTTGGAGTATTGTGTTTAGTTTTGGAATCCTTACCTTAGAAAATACATTGAATTGTTGGAAAGAGTTCAGGGGAGGGCTACTAGGTCACTAGATAGAAAGGTCACCATACTTAGATTGGTTAAGATCTCTGAACTTGTTTTCTCTTGAAAACAGAAGAGTTAGAGGGGATCTGATTGAGGTGTTTAAGATTGTTAAGGGAATTGATAGTGTTAATGCATTATCTTTTTTCATATTTATATTATATTTGTGTTGGGAAGAAGTCATCTTCAGCTAAGACAGCTTTATTTTTCTAACAGGTTGGTTGGCCTCTGGAATGGGTTGCCTTCAGATGTAGTGGATGCAGTTAATTTAAGGAAGTTTAAGGGAAAGATCGATAAATATTTGAATAATAAGGGATGGGTTTGAGGGATTTTTTAAGGTGTATTTAAATAATGGATAGGACAGCCTACGTGAAACAAAAGGTCCTTTGCTGTCCTTGAATGTTATTTAGTTTTTATCAATTATACCAATACCATCACTAGTAATGATAATACCTTTAAGTGAAAATTTCAATGAACAAGACAATTTATAGTGAAACCTGAAGAGCTAAATAAATACCATGAATCACAATATTTTTGAATCAATTTTATAATGTTGTATTTTTTCTGTAAAGTAAATCTTCATTGATTATTGCTGCAATAATATTGAAAAAACTTAAACAGTAGATATTGTTTTCATGTAGTTTTTGAAACATTCATATTTATATGATGCACAGATTTAACAGTTTATGATTTATAAGAAGTTATGAGTGAAAGTAATGATGAATGTAATAATATGTCAACTTATAGAAATATTATTCAAGTCAACTAAAGATGGATCAATTTGTTAAAAATCCAAAGTTATATCTTTAGCCTAGGCATTCTGTGGAAAATCTTTGGGCAACTCGTAACGAATTGCAACAGAAAGTTCTTATATATTGTTAGAATCTATGTATCTAAGATAAAAACATATCAAAAATATTTAGTAGAAGAGTCAAAATTATAACACCAAAGTTGGGGATTAGATATATAATACAAAAGTGACCAGTATAAGCTGAAAAAAAATTTTAACTTCTGGTACATAACCTTCTTAATCTCTCTTGTAACTTATTCATATATATATATATATATGATAGTGATAGTTGAATTTTTTAATTCATAGAGTAAATTATCATTTATAACACAGGCACTTGTATTACTAAAAAGGTTGAAGTTAAGAGTAAAAGATTACACTGACAACATCAAATCAAATGTAATGATGCTCTCTAATCATCACAATCTTCATCAATCTCATCCACCTCCTCTACTCCCACAATGGCATTGATGCATGCCCCCTTGCACTCTCCACATGTAAAGGAGCACTCTAGTCCTTTGTGCTGGCAGGAACATCTCATGGTTTAGCATTCTGTTTTGCAATTGCATTGGATGGCTTTGAGGAGCTCCTTTGGTGCAGGGGGCATGTCCATTATGATAAGATAATATCTTCCATTGAGGAGCTTGAAGTGTAGATCTTCAGGATTAAGGTGATTTCCCAACCAGTTCTGTATCTGCAGGTATACCCTCAAGCTGTGGTATGACATTGATGAACTAGTTGGTAGTATCACCTTTGGCTGTACAATATCAGTAGGAGGAACTTTTTTGCAAAATCAAATGAGTCTAAGGTCATTTATTTTCTGACTGATGCTATCACCATACAATATTATCAAGGCTCTTTCACCACAGAAAATTATATCTTCTTTGGTTGCATTTGAATCCATGAAGGTGAATGCCTGTTTGTAAAATTGGAAATCTTTGCAGTTTAGTACTAGCTGTTTACCTAGGTTGAAAGGTTTAGAGACTGTATCACACCCCAAAATTGTATGAAAGTTGAGCAGGTTTTCACACATATTCCCTAGTTTTGCTCTAGTAACTTTTATACTCCAACACCTTACTCTTGTTGAGGTTTGTTTAGGCTCTTGTGTCTAATAAATGTCATTATTTGCATAGTAACACAGCAGTACAAGTAGGTCCGTGTCATCTGCAACAACTACCAGTTCCTTTGTTTCAGACATTGCGATAGCAATTTTCACAGTGAGGAGGCCAGCATCACCTTCATCTCCTGCATTCATAACATTGCATCCACCATCTTAACAAACTTTGCTTTGTTGTTTTCATTTGCCAGGAAAGCTTTCTTCTGTATTGAAAGCTTTCTGACTGCCCTTTCCAGTAGCTGCTCTTTTCATGTGTTCTGCATTTTTAGTTGATTGTTTTCCATAGGTATCAAAGACAACTGAAGCTTCACCATAGTGCTCAAGAATGTAAGCTTGATATCCCAATATGATTTTATCCCAAGTTTGACGTTTTTTCCAAGAGACCCTATGCAATAGAGCACCACCATCCATCACATAACCACAAGAGCTGGGTGGTTCTGCATTTAGGTTATCAGATCACATGGCATCAGCCAGCATGTTTTTTGTAACCCCTCATTACCATCTCTGGACTCGAACAGAACCATTGGGTATGAGCACAACTCATCTCACCTTGTTCCAGCAGTTACAAGCCACTGGAACAAGAGGTGTGGATCGACTTGAACATCTCCTTGAATATTTACTCTGTTCTTGGTATTCATGGTGATAGCTTGAAGCTTGTTTTTGAAGCTCACTTTATTGACTGTCTTTCTTTCCATAGCCTTGATGATCTTGTGCCCAATTTCTTTTACAAGGAAAGCATTTACATCCACAGATACCTCTACACCAGTAACTGTATTATGTAGAAGTTTCTCTCTATGAAATGAGTTCTTTTGAGACAGGAATGATAGCAATTGGTTGATATCTTCCAAGTCTTTTGCCATGTGTGCAGATGTAGTGTCCTTGTGTTGTTCGTTGGTTTCTGGTTACTTGATATATTTGTCACTGTGCTGTTATCTGAAAAGTAAATAAAAGTTTAAGAATAAAGTATTAAAATAATATGTGTTTATAAACCTTGAGATGGTACCTACATTTCCAGACATATTTAGATCATGAATGTCAGTGCTTTCATGTTGATTATTTCCTAAAAATAATGTTACTGGATAATCAAAGTTGTTTTTAACTAACTATAGGCCCTGTATCAAAACTGATTAGAATAGAAGATAATATATATCTTCCTATGTGTTACCTGCTTCAATTGATAGACTACTTTCAGCTGCAAGTTATAGATCGACTGACAAAGCTTGTGCAGTAAACTTTGTGTTCAGAGCAGCATCCAGACCTGTGCAAAGCTGGTAATAGGCCCAGGCCAGATGGGAAATGTAGGCCCCATTTGAAACTGCTCATTAAGTATTTTTGTAATCAGTGCTAAATTCATATGATTTATGTATGGGGTTACTTGT